TGTCTGTCTGTCTGTCTGTCTGTCTGTCTGTCTAACAACCAACTCACCCACCTGCCGACTCACTTCTATCTACACACCTTCACACTTACTCAAAAGGCGTCAGTGGTGTAGCGGTTAGGCGTTTCGCTGTCTAACGCAGAAGGCCTGGTTTCGAGCCGTGAGTGGGGGGAGGGGGTCTTTCTCGAGTACATGTATCTCGTTCATTTTGAATGGACGTTGTAATAGTTGTATCCCTTTCAGCCCAGGTTGGCCCAGACAGACAGAGTCGAAGCCCGTCTCCTTAATGAAAGTTAATGATCTAAACTGTGCTGATAGAGTAGGAGGCAACGTTTTAAATTCTATTAAAAAAAAAAGCATACCTAAAAGAGGCGAACACAGAAACAGACGCCCCAAATGAATTACTCTTCGTTCATGACCAAAGCCTAGCACACAAATGATGAACAAAGTCTCCAACACCACACCACCAGATTAAGCGAAAATTAATGTAGCAACTACGACATGAGGTACGACGAAGATCAACATCAACAAAACAGAGACAATGAAAGTAAGCAGAAATCCAGGACAACTCAGGATAGGCATCAACAACAACAGTCTCAGACAGGTCCAATAATTTAAGTAACTCGGAAGTATATTTCACAGCAGAGGATGGGCGACTGAACAGAGAAATTGAAACACGAGAACAAAAGGCCAATAATGTTACATGTAGTTACCAGTTTACTCAACAACTGAAACATCCTAATCCCTATGACAACAAAACTCAAAATGATCGACACCATATTCATCCCACACTCACCTATCAATGCCAAATTTGGACCACGAACAACACGACATTGGAGCAAAGAAGTACACTCAGCATGTGAAATGCGATGTCTTAGAAAAGTAGTAAACAAGACTAGGCTACATAAAGTTAGAAACTAGAGGAATATCATTCAGTAGCTACAAGACCACATGTATGTGCTATCATTCGTATCTGTTCCTTGTGTCCATTATTATTATTTCCCTTATTTGTCAATCATATTCATCTGCTTTATTTCTGTTCCGTTTCTGTTCCAGTCATGCATCGTCTGACGTATGTCTT